GGAATCTCTCTCTCTCTCTCTCTCTCTCTCTCTCTATATATATATATATATATATTTGCATGTATTTTAAAACTTATTGGAGTGTTGTTAAGACTCTTGCCTTTTCACCTAACCAGAAATGGCTATGCCTGGGTGTGTTTCATTAAATATTGACTTTATAGTGTGGGTGTGGCATTGGCAGCCAAGTGAGACAAACATAAAAAAAGAATTCTAGCAGGAACTAATTAAAAAAAATGTGTATACAGGTAGCCAAAGAGATAGTCATGACAATGGAAATTTGCAGACACCAAGCTGGCTCATGTGACACGTATTGTTCCCCTTTGGGACTGGGTTCAGTTGCATTTACACCTGAGGTTCAATTACAGTTTGACTGAGCCAATGCACCACAAACATACTAACCATTTACACCACTCTGGGCCTCTAGCTTCTTTCCTGCTCTACCTGATTTTGAACTCCCTTGCACTCAAAGATACCAACCTCCTTGACAAACCAGTTTTGGTGTTTTTAGTGTTACATCTAATTTCAGTGTCTTATTTTTACTCCTTGCAGGAATATGCTAATAGATTTGACAGCTCCTAATAGAACATTCTTGCATTTGTTTTAATCAGCTGGAACTCATACATTTTGTTTGTGAAGTGCTTAAAATCACTAAAAAGCTTTTAATCATTGTATAATTTCTCTTAAAATCATTTGTAGATTTTTGATCTGTTAAGCATTATATAATGTTTGTTAATACTTTATTAATGAAGGTTATTATAAAGTGTTACCATAGTTTATATAGCACTGCTAAGAGTGTTATTTTATTTGATCAAGCCATATCTCATAAGTTAGTATACAATGAGAATGCATGTGTATGACACCCTGAAGCAAAGTACCAGTGCTGCATTCTTTTAACACGCAATGCGTGCAACTAGATTGTCACCAAGATGTCTGTTCAGATCTTATTCTTCATGAATATATCTAGAATGACCAATCAATCAACCCACCCACTTACAGGTTATACAATAACAGAGACTGAAACCTGAGACACCGCTTCGCACGCGAGGACTGGTGCAAGCTTATAAGAGCGGCTCATTGTAAAGCTAAAGGCTTCTCTCCTCTATCCTGGTGCACAATTAGAGACTGCAGGCAACGAGAAATGGGGGAGAAATTTATACTCTTATGTATGTATTTTAAATTATTTAATCAGCCGTTTAGTGTTTTACTGTAAAGAATTGATTATAGCATTTTGTATAGTGATAGTTTATAGTGATAGTTCACCCAATACAAATACAAATTCAGTCATTTATTCAACGAAACCGGTATGACTTTATTCTACACAAAAGAAGACATTTTGAAGAATGTTGGTAACCAGTCAGTTTTGGTGACCATTGACTTCCATTTTATTGACCAAAAAACAAACAAAAAAAAAACTAAACAACAACAGACAATTCTCAAGATATCTTCTTTTATGTTCCACAAAACAAAGAAAGTCTTATACGGGTTTGGAACGGCATTAGAGTGAGAGAATTTTCAGCAGACAAAGCAACTAGGTCAGTGCTCACCCTTTGAAGAAATTGCTTGTCTCAAGTAATAATCTCAACTACAAGGCAATTCTAAGTAATGGCAATACAATCAAAGGCAAGTCTCCATTTGCTACTGCTTTGCAGAATTTTTAGCATTCTTTGGCTGTTTGGAATGAAATAGTACACAGCTTATATTGTGCACTATGATAATAATGTTGAGTATGACTATAAGAGTATATTTTACTTAAAACTACTACTAGAAAACAGTGGCGAGTGGTGACTGGTGAGTAGAGAAGAGGACAAGAGAGGATTTTTGCTCCACCACATACATGGTGTAGAGAAAAGGGAAGTTGTGGCCTAATGGTTAGAGAGTCGGACTCCTAACCCAAAGGTTGCGGGTTCGAGTCTCGTACTGGCAGGGATTGTAGGTGGGGGGAGTGAATGTACAGCGCTCTCTCCCACCTTTAATACCACGACTGAGGTTCCCTTGAGCAAGGCACCGAACCCCCACCAACCCCGCAGCATAAATGGCTGCCCACTGCTCCGGGTGTGTGTTCACAGTGTGTGTGTTCACTGCTGTGTGTGTGCACTTTGGATGGGTTAAATGCAGAGCACTAATTCCAAGTATGGGTCACCATACATGTCACGTCACTTCACTTTTTTTAACCAGGTATGCTGAGTGATAAGATTAAGCCCCCCTCACCCCTCCTCATCGCTTTTAAGACACACTCAAAGAGGAAAACACCGTGTTATTGTTTGGATGTTTGGATCACCTTTATAAATAAACTGCACTTGGGTTCACACTTCAACTCGCCTTCAGTGGACTGAATCATTACAGTTTACTTAATTAACAGATATGGGTGTAATGCCATACCATATTTTTAATATGGCTGAGTTTATATTTAATGTGAATTTAACATTGAAAGTTAATGTGAATAAAAACATTGCAAGTTAGGCTACTAACAGTTTCATTGTACAGAAAGAGAGCAAAGAACATTTACATTATCAAAGAACATTTTCACTTACAGTCTAAGTTCAAGCCCTCTCAAAGCTCCCATTAAAATCACTGAAGCTGTTTACACTATGAAATTAATATCTTACAGATTCCTACAAACATTTGCACTTTGTTGTTTCTGAGGAGAGAATTCGCCAGAAAGAGGAATTCAGTGAGCGAGCGAGTGAAGAAAACACTGGCATTTTAGCGATGACTCATCTGAACACCTCTGATTGGTCATTGCATTCATAAGCTCAACAGCATCGTGTGTGATTGGTTAATGCGCAGTGCTGTAAAAACGCGTCTGTCTCTGGCTCAGCGCCAGTCAGCGAATGCAGATTTAACAGCTGATGATATGACGCACTGAACGTCCTAATCACGCCGGTGTGATTGTATTAAATATAGAAAATATTAATGGGCTATTTTTTGTCTTTTGGAAGCTGCATTCAAAATCCACTTGGCTCAAAAATCAGAATGGGCATGACGCCTCTGGTGGGGAGATGGGGGATTCCCCCGCACTATATGTCTGCATCGACTGAATGATTCATTCATTCATTCATTCATTCATTCATTCATTCATTTTTATTCCCAGTGAATTAGGAGTTAAAACTCCCACCCGGGTGACACTACTCCAATAATAGACCATGCAAAACATAAAAAAAAAAACAATTGAAATTAAATAAACAAAATAATAATAATAATATCTTTAAAATATTGCCAAGTAACCTTGCAAACAACAATAAAATCAGAAAAGGACTTTACATTTACATTACATTTAGTCATTCAGGAGACGGTTTTATCCAAAGCGACTTACAAATGAGGACAATAAAAGCAGTCAAAACTAACAAAAGAGCAACAATACATAAGTGCAAATGACAGGTTTGCAGTACACATAGCAAGGTGTGTGTATACACACACACACAAACACATATACACACACACAAAGAAAAACAAGTAGATAGAATAGAAAAAATAGAAAGCTAGTGTTTGTTTTTTGTTGTTTTTTTTAATAAAAAATAAAAAAAGAAGATAAATATAGATAAAGTAGAATTTAAATAGAATAGAAAGTGTTAGAGTCAGAGGGTCAAATAAAGGTGGAACAGATGTGTTTTTAGTCGTTTCTTGAAGTGACATGCATTCTTTTCGGCTCATTAAAGATTAATCTTGCAGCGGCATTTTGGATTAATTGTAGAGGTTTGATAGAAGTGGCTGGAAGACCTGCCAAGAGAGCATTGCAATAGTCCAGCCTGGACAGAACAAGAGCTTGAACAAGGAGTTGTGTTGCATGTTCTGAAAGAAAGGGCCTGATCTTCAATCAATTACTTTAATTGTAAGCGACACAAGTATACGGGAAAAATACAGTTATGATGTGTTTTTTTTTATATGATTTAGTCAAGTTTCGGCAATCGAGATCTGACAGCAACAGCACATTTTTCCGCTTGGGCGAGCGCTTTGCGGACAGTTTACCTCACGCATGAAATCTTCCACAGACCAGCAAATCACTGAGAACGCGCTACAATCCTGAAGAGTCATAGCAATAGAGCGGAGGCGAGAAAGCTGCGGAGAATCTGCTCACCCGGAAGCAACCGCAACTGACTTAGATTTACAGAAAATTACCGTTGTTTTCAAATAAATAATTTTACATGCTTATTCCTTTATTAAGACTTTATTAAGATTTAAGTTACATCTCAAACGACAAGGGATCAACTTATAATCACGTTTATATTAACCCGTGAACTCATTCTCTCAGACGGCCTGGGTTCGCAGTTTATATGGACGGAACGCCACTGCTAGAAAATAGTATGTGTATAGTTTTAGTTTCAAAACCTGTGCATTGTCATCAAATTTTGTGTAATCTGGCTAGTCAATAAAAACCAGAAGTTGATAAGGGAAAAGGGAAATTCGTCAGCTCTCATTTTGTCAACAGCCTAGAGCAGGGTTCCTCAAATCTTGCCCTGGAGGGCTAGTGCGCTGCAGAGTTTAGCTCCAACCCTGATCAAACTTACTTAAAAAATGCTGGGTTAAATACAACCCAGTGCTGGGTAAAATAGGGACAAACCCAGCAATTGGGTTGTTTTGACCCAGCGGTTGGGTTACTACCCAGAATGTTGGGTTAAACATTTAACCCAATCGCCGGGTCAAAACAACCCAATTGCTGGGTTTGTCCCTATTTTACCCAGCACTGGGTTGTATTTAACCCAGCATTTTTTAGAGTGTACAGTACAGTTACAGGAAAACTATTGGTTGAAGTGCCACAACCCATCCTGTGGGTAAATGATCTCAAATACCAATGAACTCTTTCTCTTTCCCCTTATGTATGTATGTAAGCAGCACAGAAGACAGCACTGATTGTTTATGCCCACCAGAGTCCCGCCTCATTCAATGCTGCTGCACGGGATGTAGCGGTTCAGGCTCTGACAAAGCAAAGCTATAAAGTCCTAGTGTCGGATCTATATGCAATGAACTTCAAAGCCTCAGCAACTGCAGAGGATATTAACGGTAGGAATTTGCTGAAAATACAAAGTGCACCTACATTAAAATGCTACTATGGCTATAGGTTCTTAAAAGTGCACTGCAGTTGCAGTTATTAGTGAACACAGGAACACTGTTTTACTGTAAATATTGCAGGTGATCTGAAGAATCCTGAGCACTTTATATACAACAATGAGATGATGGTTGCATGGCAAGATGGTCGTTTAAGTGATGACATTGCAGAAGAACAGCATAAATTGGAGCAGGCAGAGCTGGTTATCTTTCAGGTAATAGTTTCCCAGTGCTGCACAGTTACAAATGTTAGAGTTTACATTTTACTTTGATCTGAGAAAATAATATGATTTGGATAATATTTACAGTTCCCCCTCTACTGGTTTAGTATACCTGCCATCATGAAGGGCTGGATAGACAGAGTCTTAACTCAAGGATTTGCCTTCACCCTGCAGAAGATGTATGACAATGGCATTTTCAAGGTCTGAATCTTTAGAGTCAAAGCTTGTTTTGCTTGCTTGACATTGCGGATTACAAAGAAAGAGTCTGTTTTTGTCATTCTAATGGTGATCAGATTTTAATCAGATTAAAATGTCATTCACTATTCACACCAGGCTAAAAAGGCCATACTTTCATTCACCACTGGGGGAACAGAGTCCATGTTTAAGCCCGATGGCGTCCATGGAGACATCAATGTTCCCCTCTGGCCTTTACAGGTGAGATAAAAATATTAAACAGAATTTTTGTTTGATCTTTTTAAATATAGGGGGCTAGTTATTCAAATGAAGCTGCAAGAACAGCTCTTTGTGCATTTGGAATCATGCTGTATTAAGTGATCAGAGTTGAATTCCAGATTAAATCCATAGGGAATGTGGGTTGTCACCTATTTTAGACTTTAGCCCAGAGAACTTTATTTTTACTTTTGTTTTGGATTCAACTTTGCATGTAAATGTTAAAAATTACATTATGCACTACGCATATACTTAACTGTATAGTGTATGAATTTTATAATGTTATTTTGCCATTCAGCATTGGATTCTGATAGCCCTTCCCCTCCGCTGTGTAATTAAAGCTCAGACAGTTGAGTGCATGAAGTGTCCAACATTCCACACTTCATTTTCTTGGTTAATTAAGTGCATCATCTGTGTATTTAAACTGCACTTTTTTATGCTACAAAATGGAATAGTGCATAAGTACACAAATTGGGATGCACCTAATGCACTTTACAAAGAGGCTGTTAATGACGTGGCAAATGTTTATGATATGGCATACCATTTTTAACTTATACCAGTTGAAATGAAGATTATAAACAGATTATGTGTTTTTATTACAGAATGGAGTGCTGCGTTTCTGCGGGTTTCAGGTCCTCGCCCCCCAAATCTTCTGGTGTCCAGCACACACACCTCCAGATGCCAGAAATGCCATGTTAGAGGCATGGAGGGAAAGGCTGAATGGTGTTTTTGCCGAAAAGCCTCTTTCATTTGCTCCGACCGAATACTTTGACCTTTCCTTCCAGGGAGGATTTTGCCTTCGGCCAGAGGTGAAAGAGAAGTATGCCTCTGAGTCCTATGGCATAACCACGGCACAACATTTAGGCAAACCTCTTCCTCCAGACAACCAGACCAAAGCTACGCAAAGCTAAAAGATCCAGGTGCACAAGATAATCATTCAAGGATTTAATTCTAGGAATTTTAGGTGCAAATTTAGGTATCAAATTCTTTAATGATACTATTTTGTGGATGTTATATATATATATATATGTAGATTAAAATTTGTGCATTTTAATGAGTTCAACTCATACTCATGTTTTACTCATGTTCAAGATGCATTTTCGATTTTAATTATAATCAAAATACAAAAAATAAATATATGACACTACTACTTTTTTGTATGTCTACCCTTGTTCATCTCAATCTCAAGTTTTTTTTTTTTTATTATTATGTATTCTTTGTATAAAAAATGTATTCTTTTTAAGTACTTGAAGTAGCAACTGTTAGGTAATAAGTGAACACAACAAAAACACACTAGATTCATGCTAGAGCCAACTATTAAAATTAAGGTACATTTTAACCATAAGATTGAACTGTGTGCACAAGATATACATACATACACGTACATATACATATTAAAATCAAATAAATATATTATAAACTTCACAAGCTTTCAAAGTTCTTACAGCTTTCTTCTTCAAAGAGTCTCTGATACTGTCAATATATAGATTGAACTGTGTTCCTGGGACAGAGATGGTTACATATGTTTATGCTGTATTTTTTAAACAATTCATTAATTACCTTTTTTAACGTTTCTGCAATTCTTTGCGTTTTATTTCGCAAATCATAATGTAATTAGTGCTGCAGGTTTACACTGTGACAACGTGCCCCGCTAATGAGTCTATATCTTTCTTCTTAGTATAATTATGGAAAGGTTCAACAGCTTTATCTGTATGTGGCTACACAGAAATGGACTTTTAAAAATAAAATTACTCGGGGAAACATTTATTGGAATTAAAGTGACAACTTGCCCCGGTCTCCCTTACGTGCTTACGCACATTGATAGCAAAGCGTCGCGACGCGAATAGGTCATTTAGATGCGCCAGCGCGTCATTTGCTGCAACGCAATCCCAGCCATCCCAATCGCAATCCTATTCCCGGCGTCATGTACCGTTATTCCTCCATATCAGCCGTTTGACCTACTGAACGGAAATTGAAGAGCTGCTGCTGATATTATGGACGGAATTCCAAAATGAACTGAAGTTAATTTATTTGAAAAGAAGCGCTGCGCGGTATGTGTTGCGTATTTTATACATATAGCTTTATGTGTTAAAATGGCTCATTCGTGAAGAGCTGCTCAGTGCAAGAGCTGTTTATGTCATGCATCAGTTATGCACTGAGATAATTTTCTTTAAGCAAAAGCCTGACTTTATTCTTCACTATTCTAAACTCACTTTATTGTTCTAAAATTAGCCAGACATAGGAATCCTATTGGAATTTCCATAACGAGGTGTATTGTATTGTTATTTTTTTCCAGCATGCATAAAACGAGACCTTTTAAAACACATTTCCCAGTAGATCTGTTAAAATTGCTAATGGAATACATGCTCTTTTATGACATCAAAATAAGTAGAAAAAATGTAAATGTAGAAAAATCGTTCAGAATGTTAAAATACTTAAAGTTCGCTGTATAGTTTACTTTTATTGGCCAATAAAAAGACCGTATCCCAATAGTAGATCTGATAAAGATGGTACAGTATCCAATCAGACTTAAAATAAATAGTATAATAGTAAAAATAAATGCATAAATAAATAAAAACATTCCTTCAGATTCCTTCATAATTTTCTGACAAGGTTTTAAACTGATAACTGTTTTTTGGAACATTTTTTTCGAACATGTTACATTTACCATACTATTTTCTATATATTTTAAAAGCCCCTGCTGTATGACAGATGCATTTCTAACAGCACAAATATTCACATCTAGTCTCTAAATTAATATGAGGTTATGAAACGGCATGCATAATAATTATAAGAATCAACCAAATTCTATTTAAATTCGTCTTTCATTCATTCATTCATTTGGAGTAACTTAATTCATTGGAGTATAGCAAGATGTGTCCGCGTCCCAAAAGTATTTTTTTGTCAATTCTAAATCATTTGTTTGCATAAAGAGTTTTAAATCCTTATGTGTAAAATCTTTTTAAACTTACTGTTTTTATGTGCTGTTGAATCAGGAAGTGGAGGTATGTTTTTCTCTTCAGGTGTGCAGCATTGGTGGACAAGGGCGTGGATGTAGCAATGGTGCTGGATCTGGGTGAGAACTGCATGGAGCAGGCTAATGGAGGAGGGCGCGCAAAGAATGTCTCAGAAATGTTAGAACCAGAGCCCAGCACAAAGAAACCCAAACCTGTCAGAGCCAGGACCAGCAGTATCACCCAAAGAGACAAATCGACCCACAATGGGCCTCACACGCAGCCTTGTACCACTTGGGATTGCTGCTCCCAGGTTCAACGAAGACTCCAGAAGACAGAAGGTAGAAATAAAGGAGAATCTGCACAGCCAAGGGAACCTTCCAAACAGCCACCTTGTCGAAGGCCACTTAGTCTGGAAATAAAACCACAGCGAATTAGAGCAACACAGCCAGTGCAGAAGGTGATACAGCCACTGTGGCGTAGTGGTGGCCCTTCTCCACCCATGCGAAGCCTGACAAGCCTTAGTTTGGGGCCAGGGAACTGGCTTCGCCGGAGTGAGAGCACATGCACAATGAACTCCACGACACCCCCACGTGCTGGCAGGGGTCAAATGAGACCTGCAACCTCCTTGCCACATATTGCCAGAGGTATGGCACCACTTCCTTCGCCATCAACACCTCGTGGGCCGTGCCTGCTTGTGGCTCTTCGTCCCGTAAACCTGGAACAGGAGCGTCAGACCTTTTTTCATTCTAACTATCAGTATGAGCCCCAGTTTGAGTATGCCTCCCCAGAGCCTGTCAGTGTTTTGGAGAAGTACAGAGAGGGATCCAGTCTCTTTCTGTCCCAGGTATGTTTTATATCAAAAATACACAAGTTTAGGTCCAGTGAGCCACCTTACTGTCAGTGTCAACTGCAGTCACATTTAAGTTCTGTGAATTTTCATGAAAAATCCAATTATTTCAATAAGAAAACATGAGTGAGAACACTCCCCTTATTTAGATATTGCTGTTTCGCCACGTTGACCAACAGAAAGCAGCTTGGTTTGAAAGAGGCTTCTGTGTGAGCAGTGCTTCATACATTACTACAGTATTGACAATAGACAATGGGCCCTTTTTGCCCACTAATTTTTACAGACGTTTCAATAAAGTGACTGCACCTTAAGGTAGCATCTTAATGGAAATAGAAACCTCACAAGTGACCGATTTGGAACACTCTATGTAGGGAGCAACTCTGTGTGCCATATAAATAGCGCATGAGAGACTCCAATTACAGTTGATTTCTGTAGAGTTTACATGTTTGCACGTTACAAAGCTAATGATGCAATATTCTAATAAGCTTGAAATTATACAAGTAAAATACTGAATTTTTAATGAGCTTTAACCATTTTAATCTATAATTTCTACAGTCGTGGCCAAAAGTTTTGGCAGTGACATAAATTTTGTGTTTTGCAAAGTTTGCTGCTTAAGCTGTTGTGGTGTTCATTCACATTGTTTCTAGATTATTGTGTAGAGTGAACAGATGCATTTTAAATAATTGCTAAAAGCTTCATTGGCCAAAAAATGAACTTTTCACAAAAAAACAAATTTCACTGTTTTTTGATCCTGACACAAAATGACAAGCTAACATTAATTGACTAATCATATCAGCAGCACATGTGAACGTGTGGATGAGTACTAGTCAGGTGAAATCACCATCATACTAATTAGATTGTAAGAGCAGACTGATTGCTATAAAAGGAGGGAAGAAGCGCTTCCAATTATTGTGTTCTTGTTAGCAATAGTTACTTCCAAAAAACGCGAGCAGCCGTCATCGCGTTGCATCAAAATGGCCTTACATGCAAGGAAAGCGACTTCTTCCAACGATCCATGAGCAATTTGGTGATCCGTGCATTTTCCAGCATGATGGAGCACCATGTCACAAAGAAAGAGTGATAAAGAAGTGGCTCGAAGATCAATGCATTGAAATTTTGGATCAGTGGCCAGGCAACTCCCCGGATCTCAATCCCACAGAGAACCTGTGGTCAGTCCTCAAAAGGCGAGTGGACAAGCAGAAGCCCACAAATTGTGATCAACTCCGAGAACTAATAAAGCAAGAATGGATCGCCATCAGTCAGGATTTGGCCCAGAAGCTAATATCCAGCATACCAGAGCGAATTGCAGAGATTTTGAAGAACAAGGGTCAACACTGTAAATATTGACTCATTATATTTTTTGCCAATAAAAGCCTTTAAAATGTATGATATGCTTATTATTGTTTTTCAGTATACTATAGAAACGTGGGAAAATAATCTACAAATACTGAAGCACAAAACTTTGCAAAGCACAATGTATGTCACTGCCAATAATTTTGGCCATGACTGTACATCAAGTTTAACTAAATGAAATGCTTGCTTAGCAACCATCTGAAATTAGATAAATATTTATATAAATATACTTTTTAAAAATTATTGTATTTAATTTCAGTTAATGTCTTTATTTCATGTAACAAATGTTTTTTTTTCTTTTATTGTTTTAATTTTAATTAACTAGAATACCCCGTTTGGAATATAGCCATAATGTTGTTTAAAGGCCCGTTCACACCAAGGACGATAACTATAAAGATAACGATAAAGATGTAGTTCTAAAAATAGTTCTCAATATTAAAGAATAGCAGAGCCAACACCAAAACTATAACGATAAAGAGAAACGATATCATTGGAATCACTTACAAAATGATTTTTCTACAGCTGATGAACGTTAAAAAACTGACAGCCAATCAATCCATCCTGCTGTAACGAGCTCGTGAATTTAAAGCGTCAGACGATTGTGCGCTTAAGCCCCGTTCACACCAAGAACGATAACTGTAAAGATAACTATAAAGATAACGATATTAGCGTCCACACCAGCAAACGATATCGTCTGTTTATTCTAAGCGCACAATCGTCTGCGCTTTAAATTCTCAAGGTCGTTACAGCAGGATGGATTCTGATTGGCTGTTAATTTTTTATCGTTCATCAGCTGGAGAA